AGGAAACACATTAATGCCCCTTTCACTAAGTTTCCTCATAATGAGTTTTCCCAATCACTAATGGTTACTCATTAACAGTATTTTAACCTATTAAGAGTTAAAAAAAAAGAAAAAAGGGAAACAGGCAATATATTGGTGCCATCCCATACCTTCCTAAAAGGTATTATTCATGCTGTTGCCGTCTTAAACAAAAGTGGTTATTTTAACTCTTCCTTACCACTCAAGATGATCACTGTGACCATTGACCTGGGATATATAAGAGTGTCCTTGTCTCCTTTGCTATCTGTCATCAGGCCATCTGTTCACACAGTTTAGGTACCAACTCATATGGCCTATCTCCTTACAATATAATCTGAGCTGAGACACTGTAGGCAAGTATTAAAACTCATTATAGTTTACTATTTTATGATCATTGAATCAAGTCCCCTCATTCTGCATATCTGAAATAAAAGACTCAGAGTTAAGACTTGCCCAGGGTCACACAATGGATTATGGTAGAGCTGCATCTCACTTAGAATTTAAAGCTCATAAGGAAAAACATTATTTAGTCAAAATTGCCGTTAGAAATTCCTTAAACTAATCTTTAAGCATGGTATATATGTTTTCTGTACTATAATTTTTATACTCATTGGAGTTTGGGTGCTACAGCAATAGATGGAGGAAATAAAAGGAAAGTCTGCTGGCAAATTGGTGTCTATGCAAACCATTTGCCTTTAAGATAACCATCAAATCCACTGAATGAGAAATGAGATTTTTATTGTGTTTTTCTTTCTCAATGGAATTTTTCCATTTGGTTTTAGTATTAAGCCTCTGTAACCTTACTATATTTCAATTGATTGTTCCCTCTGCTGAAGATTAGAGGATTAAGTTCTAAAACTCAGATGTGAGTTAAACACAACTATAATACAACTCCATGAGGGGTATAGAGTTTACAGGCACACAGGGTTCCTGGTTCCCCCTTTAGCACTTTTTCTGCTACAATCTCCCTACCTAGTTATTAGAAATCAAGCTCTGGATATGACTTGAAAAACAGAAAAAAGGTTTGCTAACAAACTTCTCAGTAATGATATCCAGTTTGCTTACTTCCTGTTTCTCCTTTGTTCCCTAAGTGATTAAGCTTGCTGCATAAGGGGGGTATTAGTAACTGAGAAGACTTTTGGGTTACATTCAGCCATTTCGATTAGTATCTTTGGTAACTTCTTTTTTCTCACAAACATATGGCAAAGCAACATGTAATGTTCCAATGATTGTGATTTCAAATTTAAAGTACTATTTGTTCATTCCTGAAACCTGAAACAAACATCTGGTGGTTAACGCTTTGAGAAAAAAAAAAAGTACCTTAGTGCATTACCTCTGTCTATGATTCAAGATCATAGGCAAAAATAAGTAGATGAGATAAAGCCACAGGAGTTTGTTGGTCCATTCAATTAAAAAAAATTGGGGGGGGGGGCTTCCCTGGTGGCGCAGTGGTTGAGAGTCTGCCTGCCGATGCAGGGGACGCGGGTTCGTGCCCCGGTCCAGGGGTATCCCGCGTGCCGTGGAGCGGCTGGGCCCGTGAGCCGTGGCCGCTGAGCCTGCGCGTCCGGAGCCTGTGCTCCACAACGGGAGAGGCCGCAACAGTGAGAGGCCCGCGTACAGCAAAAAAAAAAAAAATTTTTTTTAAAGAACTAAAGTAGGAGTTTCCTCTAAAGTAGGAAAGACAGTACAGACCATACAGTAATCTTAAGTACATCTTCCTTTCTGTCTCATCTTGCACTTAGATATAAACTATATCTAGTATAGATCCTCCCATTAGAAAAAAATATTTGAATGCTTTCTTATCTCCATCCCATATATGCTCAGAATTATTGCAGTTTGTGCATACTGTCAGGTTCATGTTACCATGCATTTTTGTTAATGAGAATAGTACCTCCTACATTAAAACTTCTGTGCCAATTTTTCATACTTAATATTTTAAGATTTATTCTAACTCACACTTTCCATTACAATATGACACTTGGGGAAAAAATCTGAAATAAAGATGTACCGTCCTTTTTGCATTGTTGCTCATCTTAGGGAAAAAATTTTGATTTTTTTAATGGGGGTAGTGTATTAGTCTGTTAGGGATGTCATAACAAAATACCATAGACTGTGTGGCTCAAATAATAAAAATTTATTTTTCACAGTTATGGAGTCTGGACATCCAAATTCAGGGTATCGGCAGTTTGGGCTTCTCCTGAGACTTCTCTGTTTGGCTTGCAGGTGGTCACCTTCTTGCTGTGTCCTCACATGGCCTTTTCCCTGTGCCTGCACACCTCTGGTGTCTCTTCACTTTCTAAGAAGGACACCAGTCATATTGGATTAGGCCCACCCTCGTGACCTCATTTAATTTTATTACCTCTTCAAAGGCCCTAGCTCCAGATCGCAGTCACATGGAAGGTTAATGCTTCAACATATGAATTCTGGGGGGAACACAATTCAGTCCATAACATGTAGCAATGCTTATTAATCAAACATTCTGTAATATCTTCCCCTTGAGGAAAATAGTAAAATCTTAGGAAGGAAAGTGATAAAGTTATCATTTATATGCGATACCAAGTTATAGGATATATAAATTTATATGTGACTCATTTATATGAGATGTCATTTATAAGTGAATGCACATAAAATAACCCTTAACTCCGTTTTTTAGCCTGTCTCAATAGAACTCACAAAGATTTATTTAGCAAAGGAACAGCCCAGCAGGCTAGCAAGTCACACTTCCACATACTGTTTGCCAGAAGAGACCAAGAAATATGCAGATTCAGAAATGCTCGATGAGACTGCTGCTCTTGTATCTGCTCTGAGGTCACATTTACAGATCTGGTATTTATTCTCTGGAAGTGTGGCTTCCATATTTGAAAGAAGCCTGAGCCTGACTTAAGTGGCTTCAAAAAGCAGGGCCACAAGCCTGAGGAGCTTCAGCCACAACACACACTAAAACAGAGGCTGCTGCAGTGCGAGTGCACAAATACAATTCGGAATAGCCTTGTCCCTCCTGCGGCATAGACCACCTAGTTTTTTCAGGACACTGTGTTCTGTTGCATCATTTACCATGTTCCCATTTCTGAATTTTTTTAATGCCCTGGGTTAAGGGTTGCCAAATGTAGTAAATAAAAATATAGGATGCCCAGTTAAATTTGAATTGCAGGTAAACAATGAATATCTTTTTTGTATGAATATGTCTCGTGCAATATTTGGGATGTACTTATACCAAAAAATAATTCCTGTATGGGACATACTAATACAAACAAAAAAATGTATTTGTTATTTATCTGAAATTCAAATTTAACTGTGGGTCCTATATTTTATCTGGCAACTCTACTTCGGGTTTAAAAATGAATCCTCCCCTTCCCGGACTCACCACCCTCTTAAACTTCCATCACCAACTTTGCAAATTTAACTTCCTGCTCTTAATTTGGTGCTGCCCCAAAAGGTGAAAACCCTAGGTTTCAGGCTGTCTTCCGTTATACTACTGTGATATACGGTTATAGATACTCTGTGTTAAAGCATGAAAGTTATTTTGGCCCAACTTTTCCCCCCATGCTGAAATATTTGCATCTTTATATCAATGTTCCACAATACTACTATGATAACATTAGTTGACACTATGTGCTCAACAGTGTGGTGAAGAGTCTCTAAATCTCTAAACCTTGGGCTCAGTCTGCTCACCTGTAAAAGGAGGGGACTGAATTCAAGGTATTTTCCCCCAAGGTTCCTTTTAAGAATTCCTTGCCACAAGTCTTTAAAGTGAGGTTCTGTTAATGTTCTCATTTGCCTTGTGAAACCTAATTATTCCTATTTCGGGTGAATCTCTTTTCCCTTCAAGTAAGTGGCGTTTAGATTACTAAATAAGTAGTGTTTCGGTTACTTGATTAACGGCTTCCTCTTTAAAGATGTTCGCCCTAAATTCCTCAAGGGCCAGAGAATGCACCCTTTATTTCCCTCCACCGCACTCACCCTGACACCAGACTTTGAGCACAGCGGGTGATCAGATGATGTGGTCCTGAAAATGCTGATAATGATGAAACGATTCCATCGTGGTGGGTTTTCTGACTGTCGAAAATCATTTGCTGGGAACAGAAGCCCTCTCCGCGGGGTAGGAGACCGCCGTCTGGGAGCCGCTCGTTGTACTCTTCCGCCATCTAGTGGTGCCAGGGTTGCTCTCCTTCGCTCGACTTGCTGTTCAGAGCTGCAGATTTCAAAAATTGTAAATCAAATGCGTAAATAGTTTTATTCTTGTCATTACAGTAAGAAGGGACTTATAGAGTGTTTTGAGAGATAAAATGTAATGTGTTGATAAAACAATAAGTATAACGCAATAGCAGACTTTAGTACCTGAACAGTATAGACTAAATTCATGCAATTTAGTTAACTTGACCATAGAACAAAAATATAAAGAGTTCTAAGAAAGATATCTTTTTCAGGGGCTTTTGTATAATGTTCAAGGATTTTTAAATTTCAAAGAAACATAATCGTAGCAGATGAAAAAGAGCGAAAGGGAGAGGAAATAAAGTTCTGATAAACGTTAAATTGTTTAGAGAAAAGTCTCAATTCTGTTTTTAACTATTTGACTTCAATTAAGTTAGAACTTATTATCATTATTATTTATACATGCAGTACAATGTTTAATGAATGTTGAATGATATTTAGCTTTAATGTCCTATAATCTGGAACATTCCTCAAGTGGCATGATAGTGAACTTAATTGTGTGATTCTAAAGTGAAAATAAATTTCTCTAATGAATGAAATAAAATATTTCTGGAGTGTGACTTATTTCCCATTGACGCTGTTTTCACTGAATAACTATTATAGGAAATATATTTCTGACATTTTAACATAATTCTGGTTTCTTTTTATTTTTATTTAAAATGCCAGTGCAGTGTTTAGGTCTTTCTAATAAAATATATTTAATTGCAATGCCACTTCAACCTTTAATACACTTGTGACCCAACTGAAAAAGTCTCCAATTTGTTTTCCAGGGTGGGAAAATACCCATAAGGTGGACAGCCCCAGAAGCTATTGCCTACAGAAAATTCTCCTCGGCAAGTGATGCATGGAGCTATGGCATTGTCATGTGGGAGGTCATGTCCTATGGAGAGAGACCTTACTGGGAAATGTCTAACCAAGACGTAAGTGCCACCCATAGTTAAACTGCCATTTTATGAATGCAGACATATTAGCATTGATGGGGAAATATGCCTTTTGCCCTCACTCAAATTAACCCTTATCTTCCTGAGAGCTGTGAGGGTCTGTGGCCGAACTTGAGCAGCGTTTCACTCTGAGCTGTATTTGGTGTCATAAGGGCCAGCTGATGGACTTTGTCACGTAAGTACCTCATCTATGTCTTACATCTGATACTTCCACATATATCACTCTAAGGTAGTGTGACTGTGCTTATGCAACAGCCTTGGCCTAAAACAAAAAACAATGAATAATGTTTACTTTTCATTTCTTCCTTAGAGCAATTTAATGTACCACTGTAAAGAGCAAACTAATTTAGACTGGATATCCCTTAGCAGAAAAAGGTTGAATGCTTTCAGGCAATGTATTATCAATATGTGTCATGTAGTATGGTTCTTTTGAGATACATGACCCTCTTTGCAATCTGTTTTGTTTCCGTTTTATCTGTAAAAACTACCTTGGTGGCTAATAATACTATAGAACAGGATAGTTAACACACATTTGACCTCTGTGGACTGTCCAAGGTAGTAGAGACGGTAGTCAAAATATGCTAGTATCCTGACTATGCTAGTATCCTGACAATGCAAGTAAATGTGCTGTCAGAGCTGCAAATATTTTAATAGCCCACTCCCTCATCCCAGAATTGAGACTTTGTCTACTCGTTTGCTTCCTCCAAGTATCTAATGGTTTCTGAGACAATGGCAATGGGAAGTCAGCTCTACTGGGATTCTGAATGTTCATAAGGGGAAACAAAGACTATATGACTATAGAAAAATCCCTAAACACAGTCAACTCCTGTCACATCTCTTCTCTGTTTTCCATTCAATTGCTTGAGCCTCCCCTCCACACCTCACACTCATTACTTTACCCCCACCTCAAGTTGTCCAAGTACCTTAAGGGTTTGTTCAGTGACAGAGAAGGTCTATCCTTTTTGAATGCCAGACACAGAGAAGACTGGGTTTTGGTTAGCTCACCATGGCTATTGCTTCTCCCTGCCTTGGAGTGTTACTTTAGAAGCTGAGTCCTTCTCAGTTCTGTGGGTGCCTACTGACTCTGCAGAGAATACCAGGTCCAGAAACCTACATGGCAGCAGGTTCAAGGTCATAAAACACTGCTCAATCTTGCTCTTTAAAGCACATCATCAAAACACAAAGCCAGGTGGCTCGGTCCTGCAGAACATTTGCCCTTAAGTACAGAGTATGCCATAATCAGCAGCCTTTCCTCCACTCCCAACACTTAGACTTTTTGGATCCAGATCATTTGCCTAGAGTTTACGGTCTTTCAGGGAATTTTATTTGAAGGAGCTCGTTGCTCTTCCCTGTCTCGGGGCCTTGTTTGGGGCAACTTGTGACCGCCTCTCCAGCTCTTCTTAAAATTGAATCCCAGAAGCAGAAATTCGTCCCTTCTCTCCCAGAAAGAACTCATCTTTCTTTCACCAGTTATCCAAGGTAATAGAAGCCCTGGATTCAGTCACCATAATTCCTGCTCCACTCTTAACCCAAGATAATGCCTGCCTGCCTGTCCTACTTTGATGTGACTAAAATAGGCCATTCAAGCAAATCTCTAGAATAAAAAGTCCTCCTCCAGATGAGTTAAAGTCTTCACTGCACAGAAGAGCCCTCAGGTCAAGTGCCCTCCTTAACTGGTACTCCATTAATCCTTGTCTTAACCTGTTTCCTGACAGACGTAAAATAAAAAATTGCCTAACTCAGAGGACTCCAAACTTTACTAATAATACATCCTTGCCAGTAAAAAGTTCTTGAGCATTCACAACTGACACATGTATACGTATTTTCACATTGTATACAAGTACTACCGTACTAATATATCCATTTTTCATTAAACAATATTCATTGGGTGCCTTCTCTGTTTCAGGAAGCGGAGATACAACAGAAAACAAGTGTTACACCTGGAAGGGACCATAAAGATTATCTAGTCCAACCCGAGTTGAACTTGGTTATGAAACTGAGGCTTAGAGAAGTGACATGATTTCCCTAGAACCACATAGTAAGTGCTTTGACAGTGATATTAGGAGACAATTCTAATAACCTTTTAGAAGACGTTATGGGCAAGGAGAAGAGGAGAGGGGATAACTGCCTCTTTCATGGTGGTTTAGTTCACAGTCTATGGGCCAGTGATTTCTTGCCCTCATTGAGTTTATATTCTCGCAAGAGGGAAACAGACTTTAAACTAAGTAAATCGGTAAAATATATAATATGTAACCTGATAATCACTGCTTTGGGGGAAAAAAACAAGAAAGGAGGATAAGGAATGCTAGGGGTTTGATTTTAAATATATTATATATATTACCAAATACATTTGTAACAGTCATTTCATTATGGCCATAAAAGTCATAGTCATTCTTATTAGGCACGCATAAATAGTTAAACATAAAGAGAAGTTCTATTACTTTTCCTGCCTCCTGGATTATCATCTTGCCGCCTGGGGTACATTGTACCACCAATTTGGTAACCACGGCCATGGTTATGTAGACTATAATTCAACAATGAAAGTGCCTCAGTTTCATGACCAATAAATACAATGAAAGGACTAGGTTAAATGATTTTTAATATCCCTTTTAACAGTAACATGCTATGGTTTTATAATCTCTGGAGAAATAGTTTTATCATACTTGTCTCAGCAAAGGAATGATTCAGACTGTTCTTTTCTCAAGCTTAGGAATCTCTGTGGAGGTACAAGAAATCCGATAGGACTTCCACAGAGCAGAGCATGTGCAAGTGAAGATACCAGACTGCAAGACAGATTTTCTAGGAGAGCAGCCTCTGAGAGAAAAAGCCCAAATGTGTAGTTTCCAACACAGACCCCCATGTAAATTGTTCTTAACTGTTGCCTAGAGTAGTCCAAAGCCTGTTGTCAACTCCCCCCTTCATGGATTGTGCCCAAGAGTTCACCCAGCCATTCTGGCCATGTGTGTTGATGATCTGTGTCCAAGATGACCATTTACAGAACCATTCTGTCTATTAAACCTCATTTGGCCACAAAGACTGTATCTGGAATCAGAAGAAGTTGCTGCAGCCAGGAACAGACTCCTGGACATTAAGCCCATCCTCATTCATTCAGGGTTGCCAATGCCCACAGCACCAGGCTGAATGCTTCCTCCACCCAGAGCTTGGTTGTTCTTCAAGGACCAGGTAAGGGCTAAGCTGGTTATTTTCATGGTCTTTGAGTGGCTACCAAAGAATATGCAAGCAAGAATCTGAAAAGAGGAGAACAAAAAGTTCTGGGGAAAATAAATAAAAAGCCAAACCCTCTAGGTCCTCAGATCAATACAAGAGGAGAGGAAAGTACTAAGAGCTAAAATCTTTTATGTATCTTGTGAATATTTTTTGCTGCTGCAGTAGAGCTGAAATTCTGTTTAGCTTAACATATTGGAAGTCAGCGTATCTGTGACAGATCCTGAAACCAGAATTTCTGTTTGGAAGCAGAAATAGCTTAATCAAAACTTTCCAAGCTGCCCTCTCCAAATATGAGTTATTTCCTGTTTGTCCTGCATTTCTCACGGTTGATCAAAGCTCAGTCTCGTGTTTGACTTTATGCAACCAAGGTGTATTTTAAATAAGGAAAGTCATTTTTAGACAGTAAAAATTCAACTATGCTCTGTTTTAATATTTTATATTTTTATTACATTTTGGTGAGTTTAATTTATGGGCTTAGTTAAATATGGAATGTTAACATGCTTTAGGATTTTAAATGAGTTTAGGAAATTTCAGATCGTTTTCATGAAATAGTCCCTCCATTCTGCAGACTGTGGCGTATTTCATTGCAGTGAACAATTCTGAGTTTGCATAATCTATTTTCGTGAATAATATAATGATTTTCCCAAAGGTCAGTAGTAATGTACATTAGGGATGTATATAAGGAAATGAGAAAACACAGAGTACCCAGGACTAGTCCATAAAAGACATACCAAACATAACAGTAGGTGCCATCTGCTTAGCCTTTCAGCAGTTACTGTTTGAACACATGCCAGTCACTGGGCATGTGGATGGGGATGGAGAACTAGAAAAATCCAGCCCCCGCTGCCAAGGAGCCCTCTGTGTAGGTGAGGAGATGAAGTCCTGGCATTTCTAAGTCTTGCCCCTGCCCCCAAGTAGAATGTACACTCCTCAAGGGTAGACCTCAGGCCTTCTTTTCCTTTTTAATATAATCGACATTGTGTGAATGCAACATTGCTATTTTTTAGCATATGCCAAAAAAGCATGCATACTCTATTATTCAAGGTACTTTTGATTATAAATGACAGAAACTCAATGTGAACTCATTTAAGTAAAAATAATTTTTTTCATTCATGAGACTAAGAAGGAGTTGAGCAGTGCTATATCTCGGGGATCTGCAGGATTTTTAGTGCTTACCAAGCACTAGGTCCATTGACCTCATTTTCTCCTGTTGCAAAGGTCTTCTTTGCTTTATTCTTCTTTATGCTCCAGGGTTCAGCATCCCAGCTTAGCCACCTCAGCAGAATGAAACCTTCTCTCTGTGAAAATTCATACACCAATCCCAGAGAAGACTGGTTGGCTGTGTTAGGGCTCTACCCAACTCTGAACCAAAACCATGCCAGGGAATGGACACTATGATCGGCCCAGCAAGGTTTAGGTACCAGCATGTGCATTCGGAGGTGGGTGGAGCACTGTGATTGGCAATTTCCCCATAATCACATGGAGTGAGGAAGAAAGTCCCCAAAGGAAAGGAGTTGTGCTGCCAGAGATACACTATAGTATTCTTTTCTGTGCATTGTTTTCAAGAGCAGTTTTATTTATTGCAGTATCAAATGGCACCAAAATATTAACACTGTGCATCATTATATTCTAGTGCAGCAGCAGGTGTAGTGGAAAGATCATGAGAGCTTTAGAGCAGGGTTTCACAACCTCAGAACTATTGTTGGGCCAAATAATCCTTTGTTGTGGTGTGCAGGCAGGGGTGCTGTCCT